GTATGTGTGCAATTACTAATACCGGTACAATGTATATATATAATAGGCTATAGTTTTTGCTTGATTTGGTTTCCAAACAGAAACTTGTATAGAAACCAACGAACTCGACAATTAAGTTGGGCGTTGATGAACACAGTGTAGATCTAGGGGAACCACTGACAAGCTTTCCTTTATCGCGCAATCCAACATCATAAGAACGTATAGGCTCGGCACCTTCTTCCAACTACAGTGTATATTCTTAAAATTATGGCTCCCTAAGTATGTCACATCGCTACCACAGAATTATCTGCTCAGTACCTAATTTTAGTTTTGAGAAAGAAATTTGACGTCATTTTTTTTTCACATCCTATCAAGCTTTTCGAAAGCAATTCTTTGAATATCTTTATTATAACGACTCCAAATCATCTTACGACTTTGTTGATAGAGCAGATAGAACATTTGGTTTCTGACCTCATGATGTTAGTAATTTTTTAAAATGTCAGACAGAACTGTGTAATTCTTAGGAAGCGAAGTGGTCCGCTTCGTAACGAACCGGAAATACGCCATGGTGCACGATCTAGAATAATAACAATGATATCCCGTAAAGTAAAAGTCTATGGAGGAACGCCACTGCAATACATACAAGTTTTAATTAACAAGGGACATGACTGTAGAAATAAAGCTGCTATAACAAAGCAGTAGTGGCCCTTGGAGAGCCTCGTTTCGGCTTGCCGTTGAAGGAAAAAGGTTGGTGACGTCAGTCGAGGCGTGCTTTGCTGATCGAGAATTCCCATGTTGAATCGGAGAATTTCCCTGGTATTTTTCTGAAATTGCTTGTGATAAGCGAGCATGTGATCTATTTGGTGATATATTTTGAAAATGAGAGAAGTTTGTTCGTTGCGGGACGGTGAATACAAGAAACAAGTACCGTAAGACAGGCTCAGATTCGTTTGTCGTTTGAGTGTTTGGGAATGCCACGTCGGAAAACCACCCTTCTGTCTGACGGTTCACCTCCGGCTCAAAACCGTAAGTAACGTTACCTTCATCTTGATTTGACCTAAATCGGACTCTTGTTGGCTGCTATCATTGCGCAAAGTCTGTGCATAATCTACCAATAGGGACAATAGTAGTTTTTAATTTGCACTGTTTGGGGCAGTTTTATGGGAATTGTCCTTATTTGCTTTTCGTTGAGGGGGGAAACACCGATTAGGAAACTGGGGTTACCCTCCCTCATTAGTATGCATTCCTGCTTGCAGGTTGTTTGGGATTTCACTTTCTATTGAAAGTTTATGTTTTGTATTCTGGTGTTTATATGGTTTGCTACTGTCCTTAATACGATTGTTTAACTTTGCAGAAGTTTTAATTATTTATTTTTTGCCAGTTAACAAAAGTCTTCGTTTCATTAGATTTATGTTGATATGGTTGGTGGACAGACTGGCGTACGGAGTGGGCAAGTTCATTTTGTGAAAAGGGGGTGAAGAACCCTTTGCTGTTCCCTTGGAGAGATAGCGAGAGAAAAGGGGGGGGGGGTATTCGAGCAGATCGACAGTAAGTGATATTAGTAAGCAAACCGGAATTTAGGTTTATCTAATCATGATTTAGCTACTTAGGCTATTAATGATTCAAGCATGTTGAGTTTATCCAGTTTTATATAGATCTATAGGCCTACATCTTCTGCAAGTAAAAAGAAGCGCATTGTTACTGTAATAAAAAAATAAAAAAAAGAAAAGAATAAATTGATGTTGCAAAACAAACAAGGCTCCTAGTGCGGCCTAGTCCAACAAGCGATTTTTTTCCTCCCCGCTATTTATTAATGTGGACATAGATTTGTCATGTGATGCTGAAAAAACGGTCTTAGTCAGTGGCATTGTCAATATTAGAAAAAACAACAACACAAAAACTTGATAGATCTAGATCTAGATCTAGATCTATATGAGTTCTTCTTTATATTTTATTTTTATAGCTATTTTTATCTTGTTAAAAGTATGAGCTCTTGTTAAAAGTATGAGCAAATTGCAATGTAATTTTGCAAAAGCCTTATAATCTTTAAAGATTATTTTTAAAAAGCTGACAGTTTTGTGAAATCTAGATCTAGATCTATTTCTTTTGCCTATTATTATTTTT